CTGATTAAAGCCATCATTGTCCAGTCCAGCTGCAGCACCCAGTCCAACATCCTCCTTCGCTCACCCTCACCCTGGAGGACCCAGGACTCATACTCTGAATATGAAAGTGATGCTCCCAAACCATGTGTCCTCCTCCTGGTGCTTTGAATGGCTTCTCTCTTTGCAAAATCTGCTGAGCTGAGCAAATAACCAGCGACCCAGGCCTCAGCAATCCCAGAGTTGAGGCCACCCAGCTGAGGTTAGGCCTATGCCTTGAAAATCCTTGAAATAGTTCGCTGAAATTGTCAGCCTTCCAAATAGCATTGCAGGGGAAACTAGCGTTCTCTACTGTCACCTCTCTCTCCTCTCTGCGGCTCTTTTCCTGTGGATAGTAATGGAAAGAGCCTTACAGAAGACCCAGGTTCAAATCCTACCTCCGGGCTACCTCTGTGATGCTGAGCAGGTCAGGTAGTTTACCTGGGCCTCAGCATCCTCCTCTATAAGATGATCCATAGCCTACATGGCCTCTCATCTATGGTCTCTTCCAGCTCTATGATGCTACAACGTCTTAACAATTTAGTTAGCTTAGCTGGATCCTGACCAGATTCTGCATCACCATCAAGAGCACCAAGGATTTCTCCTGACCTTCATTTGTCTGTCCACAGCATTCACTGCGGCTCCAAAGATTTAGATTTTAGGTCTTGAAGCCAACCCTTCATTCGTAGGATCACAAACTTAGACCTGCAAGGGGCCTTAGAAACAATCTGCAATCCAATCACTTCATTTTAATGATAATAATAATAATAATAATAGCTAACATGTATACATCACTATGTACCAGATTCTGTGCTAAATGCTTTACACTTCTCATATGATCCTAACAACCCCCCTGGGAAGTAGGTGCCATTAATACTCCCATTTTACAGATGAAGAAACTGAGGCCCAGATATAAGAACTGACTTGCCCAAGGTCGCAGAGTCGGTATTCGAACAGATGTCTTCTGACTCTAAACCAGGCACTTTTTTCTCAATCCCTTTAAGCCGTCTGGATGGGGCATATCACCCCCTCTGCCCAAACTCACGAAAGAGGGTCTGTCGAGAATCAGCAGACTAGTGCCTTGGGAGTCATCTAGTCCAAGCCCCTCATTCTACTGATGGGGAAACTGAGGCCCAAGGTCACGTGGTCAGTCAGAGGCAGAATCCAGATTTGAATCTAGGGTCTCTGCTCCAAATCCAAGGCCCTTTTCTCTGTACCATGAATGAAAAAGCAAGAGAATCCAACCCATGCCCTGCTTTCCCTCGGAGGCGTGGCCGGGCAGACACGGGGAGGGTAGTTCGCCCTGTTATCCAGCTCAGGTTTCTCTTCTTTTGCCCGCAGGATTGTGTGTGAGATGGGGGAGGCCAAGCCCAGCCAGCACGCGGGTTTTGTGGAGATCTGTGTGGCCGAGTGCAAGCCCGAGTTCATGGCCCGCTCTTCCAAGCTCTACTATTTCATGGTGAGTCACAGTAACCAGAACAGCAGACTCCCAGTCCTCATGCCCAGGGCAGGGACGCTGTCTGTGGGGCTGGAGATGCTGCCAGGGCCTCCAGCCCGGGACCCAGCTGGCTCTTACAGGACCCCGTCCTTTCCAATGAGAATAATAAAAATAATAGCTCCCGTGGATAAAGTGTTTTAGAGAGGCAGAACAATATAGTGAGGAAACACTGAGCCTTGCTTAACTATACCTTTCTGTTACAAAGGAGGGGCATTGTTGGGAAGGATGGTGATAGGGATGCAAAAAAAAAAAAAAAGAAAGAAAAGAGCATTGATGAAACATTTAAAAATACACAGAAAAGAGCAGAAAGAAGTTCAGGAAGGGTCACAGACAAGCAGAGCTGTGTTGGCTCTATTGTGTCCAGTGTAATATATACTTTTTAAAACATCCAAGCCATGCACAATAGAGATTCATGAGTTTTTTATATAACCCTCCCCTTTCTTTTCTTTCTATATGACAGCATATGTGTTGGTTGATGTTTATTAAATTCATGGTATGAATAAAGAGAATTTAGAAAATTTAAAACAAAAAAAAAAAGGAAAACACTTTCCTTAGATCTGGGAGATTTAGTTAGGAAACCACAGATCTGGTTCTTACTACCTGTGTGATCTTGGCAAAATCATTTGACCTCTCTGAGCCCCAATTGGATGATCCCTAAGGCCCCTGATTTTATTATCCTATTATTCCATAAAGGTTTATAAAGTGCTTTCCTTACCATGCTGTAAGGTAGTCAGTGTAAGTGTTATTATCATCCCTATTTCATAGATAAGGAAACTGAGACTCAGAATTTTAATGACATGCTATTAGTCATTAAGTGTCAGAGTCAGGACTTAAACCTGGGATCTGACTCCAAAATCAGTCTCCTTTCTATAGCGCCATGCTGTCTTGGGTAAGAAAGTCTTAATTCATTTAGAGAGATTAATTAATTTGCCCATGATGACAAAGCAGGTACATTTTAGAGCTGAGATTTGAACCCAGATCATCTGCCTCAAGGTTCAGGATTCATTCCATTATATTTTGCCTCCCATGGTTCTCAAATTATCCCAACATGCCCACGGTTGTCCTTGCTGCCACCCCCAATCATTCTCCCATCCTATCAAAACAACATCCTACTGCCTTTGCATGCCATCTCATCATGTCACACTCTCACCTCATCTTTCCCATATCCCTTGGCCTCAGTACCCTTTTATGTCCCTGCCCCACCACTCTCCCATTTCCTCATTCATCTGTCTCATCTTCACCACATCTTTTTGCTCTCTCCTTTCCCTCACCACCTCTGTCCCCTGCTATTGCCACCTCTCTGTCTTTTCTCCCCATTTTCAACCTATTCATTGCCCCCACCCCAAATAGACATCAATCAGAGTCTTCTAGACTCCAGGCCTGGCGCTCTCACCACTGCGCCACCTAACTGCCTCTACTCATCCTATCCAACCTCATTTCCTACTCTACACCTGGCCATGGGCACTAGATACTGCATTCCAAGACCATATTCGTTTAGACCTCCACATCTCTCCTCATGTTGTCATCACCCAACAAACTTATCATTTTCTCTTCCAGCTGTTCCAATCCAAGTCGCCCTTCAAGGCCCTGCTTGAATTCTTTCTCCTCCACCAATCCTCTGATTACACTGATCTCCTTCCTTGAACTCATATACCATTTGTTGTCTATGTCACTTGTCCTAGCACTTAGCATAGACTCCCCTGCTTACATTGTTATTTAGCATTTTTATGTAGAATCATAGAATTTTAAGGCAGAAAGAAAGCTGTCATTTTTTTTAGAAGGTCAGAGGAGTGCAACAGACAGGGGGGTTCAAACCCAAACCCTTCTACTTTCTACTTGCATAAACTTGGACAAATCACTTAACATCTCTGGGCCTCAGTTTACTCATATGTCAAATAAAGAAGTCCCTTCTAGTTCTAGATGTATAACCCTATGATCTCATCCAGGCCCCCTCATTTTACATGGGGGTCTAGAGAGATGGAGAACTTATCCTAAGTCACATAGGTAGTAAGTAGAAGAGCTGAGAATTTAATCCATGTCTTCTAATTCCACATCTTTGTGGTTCCCTTTCCATTAATTTGGGTAAAAGCTTGGGGTACAGTTGGCTACTTGGATCTTGGGCCATCTCCAGTTGTCTTGACCTTTGTCTTGCCACTGGTGTTCAATGACTCTGGAGGCGAGAGTAAGACTGATGACCTTGCAAAGCTCTGCCCCACTTATATCCAGTTCACATGCGCGTCAAGACATCACCCTTGTAACGTCATCGGTCCTCTTCGAGAATGAAGGACAAACAACAGCAACAGTTCTCCTCCCATTTTGCTGTCGTCCTCCATGAACCCATTGGTCTCTTTTGGGGTAGAGGACCCTAAGTCAACTGCGAGTACTTCTGGGGGTTGAGAAGGGGTCCAGCCCCATGTCTCAGGGGAGAGATCCATACTGAGCACATAGTTACCAAAACCTGATTCCACTCCTTCCTTCCTACTTCAACTGTATCCTTAAATGATAGAGTATGCCTAGGTAGGAAAGCTTTACAGAAGGCTAGGGGAGGTACTGGTTAAGGGCACCCCATGATAACATCGTAAGAGAACTAACTCTGAAATCCAAGGACCTGGGTTCAAATCTCATCTCTTCCGCTTAGTACCCATATGACCTGGGGCAAGTCACTTAACCTTGGAATTCCATTTCCATCTATAAAATAAAGAGGCTGAATTAGATGGCCTTGGAGATACATTCCAGTTCTAGATCAATGATGCTATGAGACTATTCCCATCATCCCAAGTTACATTTGAGAGTTGTACCACTTGGCACCCACCCACGGAGCCTCAGAAGGGGCGAAGAGGGGTCAGTAGATTCTTACCATTTCAGGAAATGGAAGAGGGAGTTTAAATTCCCCTGCCCTCCCTTCCCAGCATCATAGCTTTGTATATTTCCCTCTCCCCCTCCTCAACCCCATGGCCACACACCACGTTATCCAGGAGCCAAAGGTTAAATTTTCTATCAGGGTTTGGAGCTGCTGGATTGGCACATTCCTGCAGTCACTCCATGGTATGGGGAGAGAGGGGGATGTTTAGGAAGATCTCCACAATGGTTCAGGAGTCCAGATCCTCCCAGCTCGTGGTTTGGTCCCACCCCCTAAATGCAGGGCTGTGGGGTGGGAGGAGAGGGTTCAAACAGTCGGCTCTTCCCAACAGCTGTCTCCCTGGAGCTAGTCATCATTGTTTCTTCCTTGTCTCTCCTACTCCAGCCACCTAGCAGAGTGAGGAGAGAGTAAATAATCCCAAATCTGATTTTCCATACAAACCCACAGTGAAATATTTATGAAGCGTGGCTTGAATAATTAATACTTTTCTCACAACTTTCAAATGTTTCTCCATCACATCCTCCCCCCTCTGAATAACTCCTTCAATCCAGGCTCTGATTATACCACGACTGTGAAAGGTGAAGGCGGTCTAGATTATTTACTTCCCTAAACCCTTACATACAGGCAACGCTAGTCTAAAGCTTCTTCAGATGCTGAAATTCCCTTTAACCAAATGGGAGATTTTTTTTAAGGGAGGTTGCTTTGAAGCACCTTGGATACTATCAGCATCTCCCCACCAAACACCCCATATGCTTCTAATAATAGTTTGCTGTCCTCTCCTTCCCTGCAATACGTCACTAAGAGGAGAAGGTCAGCCCCCTTTCCCTTCATAGAGGGAAACAAAGGAAACACACAGAGAGACGGCTTGAAATAAAAGAATTATAAAATGTTAGATCCAGAAGAGATCTTCGGATCTTAGAGGCAATCTAGCCCAATTCCTTCATTTTACAAATGAGGAAACCGAGGCCCAGAGAAGTTAAATAAATCATGCAAAGCCAGGATTCAAACCCAGGTCCTCTGATTCTCACTCTAAAATTCTTTGAGTGAATGAATGAATGAATGAATGAAAAAGTATTTTAAGCCCTTCCTATGTGCCAAAAAGCAAGACAGTCCTTTCTCTCAAGGAGATCACACTCTAATTTGAGGAGATGAAGGTGCTACAGTGCAGTGGGGCCCAGGAGTCCTTAGGTAACATAAGTCAGTCAGATGACCGGATTTGGGCACAGTAAGGGATAAAGGAAGGGCAGATAGGTGGCACAGTGGAAAGAGTGTCAGACCCGGAGTCAGGAAGACCTAAGTTCAAATGTGGCCTTGGTTGCTTACTAGCTGTGTGACCCTGGTCAAGTCAATTAACTTGGTTTGCTTCAGTTTTCTCATCTATAAAATGAACTGGAGAAGGAAATGGCAAACCATTCCAGCATCTCTACCAAAAAAACCCCAAATGGGGTCACAAAGTGTTGGACACAACTGAAATGACTGAATAGCAACAAGAGATAAAGGCAGGGCAAAGAATAAGGCCCAGAGGACTTTGGGAATCTGGGGAGGATAGATAGTAAGCCTGGTGGTTCTCCATTTCATTGGAAAGAATAGTTATTGACTCCTCATCTCATCCAAGCCCTGTGAGCAGTTCTGCAGCCCGGGTAAACAGGAAGACCAGTAGAAGACACCCCTACTGGAGACCCAGCTATCAGAGATGGGTTCTGAGAAGGCCCAAGAGTCAGAGAAGGTGCAAGGAGGGAAGGCTAGGGGAGAAAATGTGGAATTGGGTGGTATAAGCCAGCACCCCACCCCAGCTACAGGAGAGCCTAGGCAGTTATTTACCTGCTGCAATGACCCTGGGCACACATGCACAGGTAAAGATGGGCAAGGCCTTTTCAAGGACACGTGCATGAGCAAGCATTGCCATGTGTGTGATTCGTGATAGGGCAGGCCTTGGCCACCCCATTGGTGTGCATATGTCATTTGGGTTTCTTTCTTCTCTAATGGTGTTATTGATCCCCAGCTCTAGGTAAAGTCATTGTGTCAGTCAGGTACCTGCCTGCTGAGAGGAGCTGAGGCGAGTTCCAAGCTTTGGGGCCATAATTCTTAGAAGGGGGGTAGGCAGTCTTCATTTAAATGCAGATACTGGCTTCTCACTTGGGACTGAGTGGAAAGTTTTTCCATTAAAATGCTAATGAAGGAACAAACTGCAACTCCAAATCCTCCAACAAACAGACATTTTTCTCTCTGCCCCCCCACCCCTTCCCCATCCCTGCAGAAGGGCAGTGGGGGCCTCTGCAATGTCCTGATTCCTTCCCTTGGCCCCTGGCCCACCCCACTGCCTTACCGACTGGGAGAGAGAGATAGATGATTCTCCAGACCAGTCCAGTGAAGAGGTTATGGCCTCATCAACAAAATGTCAGACTGGGATTTCAGCAGTCTTGTTCTTGAAGTGGTGGTTACCTTATGGTTTGACCCTAGGAAAATTGCTTCCCCTTTCCAGGCAAGGTGTCTAGAGGATAATGCCAACGAAATGTGTGGCAGACACCAAAGGGAAGGTGTTGGAGGACTAGTGCATCATCTCAGCCTAGCCTTTAGGTCTGTGCTCCCCACTATGTTATCACAGGATTTTGAGCTAGAAAGAACCTTAGAAATAAGGAAGTCCAGTTCTTTCATTTTATAAATGCATTAACTGAGTCTCAGCAAGGAAATGCCACCTAGGCAGTATGTCACAACTCAGAAGATCTGGAGCTGAAAGGGACCTTAGAAATTTAGTTTAGAGATTCTTAACCTTTTTTGGGTCATGGATCCCTTTGGCAGTCTAGTGAAGATTATGGATCCCCTTCACAGAATGATGTTTGTAAGTACTTAAATAAAATACATGGGATTGCAAAGGAAAACAATTATATTGAAATATTCTTTTCAGAAAAAGTATTTGAAATTCACAGACACCAGGTTAAAAACTCATGATTTAGTCCAACCTTTTCATTTCACGACTGGAGGAAATGAGGCCCAGAGAGAGGAAACAAGACAGATAGCAAGCGATAGATTTCGGATTCAGACCCAATTCCAGAGCTTTTTCCTCTACACCTTCTTAACTGAGTCTTTCTCTACTCAGACACTGACCTTGTCTGACCTGAAGCCCATCCGGGGGCCCATGTCTGGGGGCACCCAAGTGACCATCACCGGTACCAACTTGAACGCAGGCAGCAATGTGGTGGTGACATTTGGAAGCCAGCCCTGCCTCTTCTACAGGTAATAGTCCCCTTCCCTGTGGCACTGACCTTTGTGAGAACTTCAGGCAGAGACACCAAGCCACCGAGTTGGTAGGAAGTCAAGTTGAGATACAGGAAGAGTCTCCCCAGGGGAACTCAACATAGCTATTTCTGATCATGACTTGTAGATAGTACTTCTTCTCTACTGTGTGACCCGGGACATTAAGACTCACTAGCAGTGCCCTCTCCTACAGTTTGAAAGCAGCTAGGTGACACAGTAGATAGAGTGCCAAGCCTGGAATCAGGAAGACCTGAGTTCAAATCCAGCCTCAGATGCTAACTAGTTGTGTGTCCCTGGGCAAGTCATTTAACCTTGTTTGCCTCAGTTTCCTCATCTGTAAAATGAGCTAGAGAAAGAAATGGCAAACCACTCCAGTATCTCTGCCAAGAAAACCCCAAATGGGGTCATGAAAAGTTGGACTCAACTGAAACTACTGAACAACTGAACAACTACTCCAGTTCAAATCTAATCAACAAGTTCAATAAATGTTTATTTTTATTGAAGGTTGAGATTCTATGATGTGGAGGGCATATATAGTATGATACCACTGAAGAATGGTATCAACAAAGGTGGAATCATCCACCCTGCCGAGCTACAGGTCCCAGGCAAACATCCTTCACTGGGTCTGTGGAAAGTGTTGGTCCCTCCTCCGAGTTGCCCTCATTCTTCTCCTCTCCCAGCTTTCTCTTTTCTGCCTGTCCCCACCTCCTTGGGAAATTCAGCTGGATTCAATCTGGAGTACATTCCTAGGAACAGGCTGTTTCCTAGGATTAGTTTGGAGCTCGCTCCCCAGAGCCCTGGCTCTGCAGTCGCTGACTCTCCCGTAATCCGTGGACAGAGATTCCTACAGCAGCAGCCCACCCTCACCTGCCCCCCCAACTCCACCCCACATGAAGTCATGCTGGGGAAATAAAGGCAAGAGTTCCTAGGGGATAGAGGCAAGAAGAGGCTGTGATGGAAATCCCATCACCCATTGTGTGATCAGAGTGGCTGTAACAGGGGAAGACAAGTGGTGCAGGTGGATTCTGCTTTCTCGAGCACAGATCTCTCTGTGGAGAGCACTGAGGGAAAGGAGAGATGCCCTCACGGATCATGAGAAGCCCTGGGTGGGGGCAGGGGAGAGACAGAGATGGAGAGACACAGAGACAAAGTCAGAGAGAAAAAGAGAATCAGAGAGACATAGAAACAGAAACAGAGACATAGAGAGACAGAGATGGACAGACAGAGGAAGAGAGGCAGAGACAGAGAGAGTCAGAGAATCAGTGAAACATATATATATATATATGCACATACATATACTTATTTATATATACACATATACACACATATACACACGGACAGAGAGACAGAGTCCTTCACGATTCTACTGGGCGAGCTAACTTGAAGACACGGCTATTGGTTAGAAGTCTTGTGAGTTCTGGGAGCTGTAATCCAGCTCCATTCTCTGGCAGTCACTGATGTGGTGGAATGAGGTTGGGGTGCAGTGTGGCGGCAGGAGTCACAACCTCTCTCCAGCACCCGGTCCCACGGCCTTGTGCTCCTCCTCTCTCCCAAGGCGATCCACGTCACACATCATCTGCAACACCACTTCCTCGGAGGAGGTGGTGGAGAAGTCGAAGGTGCTTGTCCAGGTAGACAAGGCCAAGATCCATGCAGATCTCTACTTCCAGTATGTGGAGGACCCCACCATCCTGAGGATCGAGCCTGAGTGGAGCATTATCAGGTAAGGCTCGCCTGGTTGGAGTAAGGAAGGTGTGGGTTCCAGCCCATCTTCTAACACTGCCTGGTGACCCTGAACAAGTTTCTGTGTCTGTTTCCTCATCTGTGAAATGAGGAAGTTGGACTGCATTCCTTCTAAGGCCCCTTCTGGCTGTGGTTCTGTGGGATGCAATTCTGTCTTTCCCCGCTGCCGCCCTTTGGTTTCCCTGCAAAGCTCGGAGGTCTCTAAATGGACACCCTGCTTTTGTGGACGCTCTGGGAGTTGGTACAGGTTGCTCCCCGAATTAACAGATCTCTCATGCTTCTGCTGCTTTTATTTCTCAGAGGGCCTTGAGTTAGGAAGACCTGAGTTCAAATCTAGCTTCAGGGGGCAGCTAGGTGGTGCACTGGCCCTGAAGTCGAGAGGACCTGAGTTCAAATCTGGCCTTAGACCAAACACTTGACACTTACTAGTTGTGTGACCCTGGGCAAGTCACTTAACCCCAATTGCCTAAAATAAATAAATGAACAAATCTAGCTTCAGACTCTGGGCAAGTCAGTTAACTGCTCTCTGCCTCAGTTTCTTCATCTGTAAAATGGCCATAATAATAGCACCTACCTTCCAGGGTTGTTGTGAGGATAAAACGAGACAATATCTATAAAACACAAGCACAGTGCCTCCCTCTTTCCTTCCTTCCTTCTTTCCTTCCTCCTTCCCTCCTTTCCTTCCTCTCTCCCTCTCTCCCTTCCTCCCTTCCTTCCATCCTTCCTCCCTCCCTTCCTTTCTTCCTCCCTTCCTTCCTTTCTTCCTCCTTCCCTCCTTCTCTTCCTTCCTTCCTCCCTCCTTTCCTTCCTTCCTCTCTCCCTGCTTCCCTTCCCTTCTTTCCTTCCTTCCTTTTTTGGAGGATGTCACGCTATCTCCATAAAGACTTGCTAAAAGCCTCCTTTTGAACGAGAGCCCTCTGAAGTTCCCTAGTGTTTGAAGACTGATAAAAACAGAACTTTGCAGTCCCATCCCTCAGGCTCAGATTTGGGGTGGGCACAAGATCCCCCTTCTAGATCCACGACTGACTGGTTTCATGACCCACCTCTAAGCTTGAGTTTTGAGCTCCCAGAAATGGAGAGACTAATTAACCCATGCCCGCCCTCTGTTCTCAGGAACGTTATGAGAAAGAGACCAGGTGTGTGAAACGCCTCAAATAATGCTAAAGAAAGGAGCTGGGCAGTGTGGCACAGTGGAAAGAACACTGAATTGGGAGCCAGGAGGCCCGGGTTCAGGGTCTGACTGCATCAATAACTAGCTGTGTGATCTTGGCGAGGACACCAGAGTGCTCTGGGCTCTCTGACAGCTCAGTTAGGCATTCCTCGTCTTTCAGAGTCAGAAGGGGTCTGATCTAGTCCAACCTCCTCATTCTGCAGAAAAAACTGAGACCCAGGGGGCAGCTAGATGGCGCAGTGAATAGAGCATCGGCCCTGGAGTCAGGAGAACCTGAGTTCAAATCCAGCCTCAGACACTTACTAGCTAGCTGTGTGACCCTGGGCAAGTCACTTAACCCCCATTGCCTCCAAAATAAAAAATAAAAAAGAACAGAAAGAAACTGAGACTCAGAGAGGTAATAAAGTTGGCCCGAGGTCACAGAACTAATAAAGGTTAGAGCTGGAATTCAAACCTAGATCTCCTGATTCCAAGCCCAGGGTTCTTCTTCCCACTGTTCCACACTTCTACATGAAAATCAGTTCTAGCTCTACCATTCTGGGATTCTACTTTCTAGCTTGGGAGAGATTTTGGTCCTGAATGATTCCGTCCCTCACCCAGACACTGGGAGGGACTGTCCTTTCCAGGCACATGTCTGGACTGTGAATATGGACTGTGGAGAGCAATATTGGGATAGGTGATGGTGGGGAAACTACGCTATCAAGAATTCAGGCCCCCTTGCTCCTAACTCTGACCCTAGGCCTCTAGGTAATTCACCTCAAGCCACCATGTGCCCATTCCTCACCCCTACCCCAACCCTTCCTCCCGTCTCAGCGATAAAAGAGAGTCAGCCCTGCCTGCAGTGGCATGCCAGAGAGCCGTCAAGGCAGGCTCTTGGGGCTGAGGGACTGGCAAACAAAGTTACCCAGTGAACCTGAGATCCTAAGGGCTATTGTGAGTGAGGAATATTTTAAATCTAATTGAAATGTGGCCTTTTCCTATACATAGTGAAACATTTGTTTTTAGCAGCTACAAAGCCTGACAGTTTGGGCCATCACCTTGATTCATGAGGAAAAAGAACAAAAGATCATAACACAAACTAGTGGCCAAAACAGGATTTGAACCCAGTACCTTGTATATCTGAGATGTTTGCTTTGTACCGTCCTTACCCCTCCCCTACCCCCCATCCCTACCTCTGTGCGATGAGCAGAAAAGTTCTCCACTGAATTCACTTCTTGTTTAATTCGCAGCTTTCCCCTGCCTGTTAGTCACATAAATAATAGTACTGTACCTTCCGGTTCTATGCAGCCAACCTTGAGTAATGTGCTCATCAAGAGAAAGGTTTCTGACACATTCTAAATTCACTAGCTAAGCCAAACAATTTTTTTTTTGCTTAAGGAAACAAAATCTGAGAGTGATAAGGTTTGTATTATGCATGTGGTAGGTGTTAGAGGGAAACAGCTTGAGTTGAGGAGATAGCTGATAAGTATTGATCATGGTGCTGGTGGTGATGATAGTGGTAATGATTGTGGTAGCATAAAAGAAGGAAGAAGAAGAGGAGGAAAGAACAGCCAGACCACAAGGAGGACCTTCATTGCCAAGAAGATAACTCAATGTTTTATCATAGTTTCATCTGCCAGACGAAGGATGGGGGAAGGGGTCTAGAGTAGGGGTTCTTAAACTAGAATCTATGAACTTGGTTTTTTTCCTACATATTTTGATAACTATATTTCAATATAATTGTTTCCCTTTGTAATGCCATGTATTTTATTTCATACATCTAAAACATTATCTCTTTGGGGTTCCTAGGCCTTCAGCAGACTGCCAAAGGCATCCATGATACACAAAAAGTTATGAATTTCCTGTCCGTAGCCATACCAAGGGAGATGGCTGGCTGGTGTAATATATTTAGGAGTGTGGTATATGGATGGACAGATGGCTAAATGGGTGAATGAGATGCAGAAGAGGGAATACAAAATCATAGATTCGGGACCTTAGAGATCACCTAGTCTGGCCCTCTCTTTTAGATTAGGAAACTGAGCCACAGAGACAAACATTAGGTGACTTGCCTAGTGTCACATAAGTAATAAGTGATATGGCTAGGATTTGAAGTCAGATCCTCTGACCTTCAGATCTGTAACACAACATTGAGAAGATGAGAGTGATTTCCCACTCTCCTACAAAACCCAGGAAGGTCTTAGATAGGTAAGGTGATGAAAATGGTGGGGAAATGCTGTTCTAGGCATCAAGGCACTCCTTAGAGCCTTTGGGCAAGGTTATTCTCACCAATTATATTGGAAGCTGAAAATCAATAGAACTTCCTCACTGTCTGCTAAGGTGAGAAATACATGGCTCTAGGTTCCTTTGAAAAATGCTTAGTTGAAAAAAATTAATTAAAAAAATCTATTTTTTGAGTTACCAAAAAAACCCACACAGGCAGAAATAAGAATGGACTTTCTACTCCTTATCAGGTCACCGTTCCCGTGGCCCTGCAGCTGGCAATGTTGTGACCTCTTGGGCCACAGGTAGGCTAGAATCTGGCGCTTGGGAAATCCTCAAGAACCATGCTTCCTGATCTTTTTCAAGTATTCATTGGTAGTTTGGATGACAGAGGTGAAGGGTACAGTCAGTCCTGAGATCTCAGATGAGAAGAGGGTTGCCTTCTCCTCTTGTTCCAAGATTTGTCCTTTGTCGTTCTAGGATGTTGATTCATCTCTTGGACTGGAGAATTGGAGATGAGACCAGCCTAGGTTCCAGGAGTGTAACTTTGAGGAAAACCCAGACTAGGTCTTCCCACTTGCCTTAGAATGAATCCCTATCCTGGAGAGAAGCTGGGAAGAAAGAGTAATTGTAAAGCTGGTGGAGAAACAGCATGGTCATAGGATCATAACTTTGTTGTCAGAGACCTTAAAAGTTATCAGTGTCCAGGGAGGTTAAGTGCCCAAGGGTGCTCAGATAGATATCAGTAGCAATGTCATCTGTATTATTCATCTGATTACCATTAGCATCATCATCATTATTGTCGAGTCTGAGCATCATTCTTATTATTCAATTTACTTCTTTTCGTCATGATCGTTATTCAGTTTGAAGATCATTGTCCTCACAGTTATTTTTCAGCATAAGTATTATCAGTCATCAGCCTCTTCTCCGAACCCAGTGACTCACATGCCTCATTCTCTTTCCTTTCAGTGGAAACACCCCCATTGTTGTCTGGGGGACACACCTGGACCTCATCCAGAACCCCCAGATCCGAGCCAAGCATGGAGGGAAGGAACACATCAATGTGCGTTGGGGTCTGGGCAGTTTGGGTGGGGATAACAGTCACAGGGTATGAGGCCGTGCTATTTCTATTCATATAGTCATCCTCCTAGCCTGGAATGTCCTTGGAAATGTATGTATATACTCTGTGTTTGTATAATGAGATGCTGTTATAATGAGCCAGGAATTCTCTGTCCGTAGGTCTGTGAGGTTCAGAATTCTACTGAGATGACCTGCCAGGCTCCAGCCCTCGCCGTGGATCCGGAACACCAATCTGACCTGACCGAGAGGCCTGAGGAATTTGGTTTCATTCTGGACAATGTCCAGTCCCTGCTGATCCTTAACAAGACCAACTTCACCTACTATCCCAACCCTGTGTTCGAGGCCTTTGGGCCTTCAGGCATCTTGGAACTTAAGCCTGGCACTCCCATCATTCTGAAGGTAAAGGGGAAGTTGGTAGGCATGAGATTAAAGAGCTAGGAAATACTTATTGAGCCAAAGTCAGGAAGGCAGTGACTCCTGCCTGTTTCTGTGGCATGGCTTTTCTTCCCTCAGAAGAGCATACATCAGAGGCCTTGGAGATGAAATCTAGTCCAATGCCTTCATTTTACAGAAGAGAAAACTTATCCCCAGCAAGTAAACACTTCAGTCCATATATTGGAGGGCAGGCAGGGACAGAGGCATAGATCTAGGCAGCTTACTCTAGTTAGGTTGACTGATAGCCAAATTCGGGGTCTCCCCTTTAGGGTTCAGGACATGAGAAGCCAGAGGCTCATATTACTTCTTCTTTTTCCACAGCCTATCCCAGGCCATTTCCTAGGAGCTTCCAGGGAATGTTGGGATGCCCCCTCCTGACCATACAGAGTGTTATTAGTTTTCACACTCCCCTAGGAAGATCCCAGGGTGATACAGCGGATAGAGTGCTAGTTTTGGAGTTGAGAAGATGAGTTCAAATTCTGTTTCAGATACTTACCAGCTCTGTGACCCTGGACAAGTCAATTAACTTTTCTGTGCCTCATGTGTTTCTTCATATGTAAGATGAGGGGGTTCGACTGCATTGCCTCTAAGGTCCCTGCTACTTTTATACCTAGGATTCAATGATCCTATGAAACATGAGTTCAGTCTGGGAGCAGGAGACTGATATAAGTATGGTAGTAGCTTCAGGCTGGGGAATGGGGCTTTTCTGTCCATCCAGGGCAAGAATTTGATCCCACCAGTGGCCGGGGGTAACATGAAACTGAACTACACAGTGTTGGTCGGAGAGAAGCCATGTGCCGTGACAGTGTCAGATGTCCAGCTGCTCTGTGAATCTCCCAACCTCATTGGACGGCACAAAGTGATGGTGAGTCTGGCACGACCTGAGCCAGGACAGAGCAGTGGGTTGGGAGGGACAAGGGGCAGGAGGGAGCATTGAGAGTTCTGTGGTCTGATGTCAACAATCTTGGGGTCATGGGGCCAAACTTCACACTCAGAAAACTTTCTACCGCCTGGGCTATTCAGAGTCTCTTTCCCTTCATCTCACCATCCCTGCTGACACCTCTACCTCTTAGGTCCTCTCCTTTTGACCCCTCCACCTTTTACTCACTGTGCTTGATGTATACATGCTCAAGGCAAGTTCCAGTCTGAACAGCTTCCTTTGCTAACTGAGAGAGTGTTGGCTGACACTTAGGGCAAGGGATGGGAAACCTATCATCACTTCCTGTCAATAGACATTTACTTTAAGCATCTCCAATACACCTAGTGCTGGGCTAAGTACTGGGTAGATTAAAAAAAAAAAAGAGGAAGAGGACATTGATCTCTGCCCTCAAAGAGCCTAAAGTTGACTGAGAGAAACACGTTCATACAGGAACCAAGAACGAAACACTCAAGGCAGAAGGAAACACTAGATAGTATGGTGCAGACTAGACTGCCGTATTGTGTGAGAGGAGGAAACAAGAGTGGTAGCCTGAGGGTACTGTGTGCTCAATTTTCCCATCTCTTAAACGGGAGTATACACAAGTGATGCCAAACACTAATTCAGTTTCCTACTTCTCCCAATTGTATGTAGCTCATTCCATATGAAAACCGAAACTACCAATTTCCTTCCCCCCTCAGTAGAACGTGCATTTCAATGTTTTTTGTTTGTTTGCTTGTTTGTTTTCAGGGAGAGGGATGGGGTATAAAAAAGTCAGCCATGCTCTCTCACCCTGTTCCCTTGTGACTAGTGGTATATTTTTTGTAGTACAAACGGCCTGGTATTTTTCTTTCCCCTGTCAGTTCTCCTAGTCCTCAGCAGAAAGTAAATTAGGACTATTTTCAAATCAGGACAGACTAACTCAAGCTTCCTTTTACGTCCATCTCTCTCCTGGTTGCCATCCAACTGTGTGGCCCACCACCACTTGTGGTAATGTGTCCTACAGGCCCGCGTAGGGGGCATGGAGTACTCCCCTGGAATGGTGTACATCTCTCCAGACAGCCCTCTCAGCCTGCCCGCCATCGTCAGCATCGCCGTGGCTGGTGGGCTCCTCATCATATTCATTGTGGCCGTGCTCATTGCCTACAAGCGCAAGTCCCGTGAGAGTGACCTCACCCTGAAGAGGCTGCAGATGCAGATGGACAACCTCGAGTCCCGTGTGGCCCTGGAGTGCAAGGAAGGTACCTGCAGGGATGGGTGGGCTGTGGTTCCAAGTACACCTTATAGCGTTATAGTCAGTCAGCAGGCATTTGTGAAGCACTTGCTGTGTGCTAGCACTGTATTAAGTGCCAAGGATACAGCAAAAGGCAAAATACAAAAAATAAAAAATTATAATAAATAAATAAAAATTAAATTTAAAAAAGGCAAAATACAGTCACTGCCTTCTAGGATTTTACGGTCTAATGAGAAAGGCAAAGCTGGAAGGAATTGAACGTAAGCTTCTTGAAGACAGGGACAATTTTGTTGTTGTTGTTTTGTCTTTGTTTCTTTGGCACCCATTTCAATGCCTTGTACATAGTACGTGTTTAATAAATTCATGGTGAATTTAATTGAACCTAATTTAACCCAATCTTCTCATTTTGCAAATGAAGAAACTGAGGCCTAGAGAGATTAAGTTACTTTTCCAAGGTGACGAGCTAGATAGCGTCAGATCCCAAGATTTCTACATAAATCTCCTGGTTTCTAGACCAGTGTTGTTTCCACTGCTCACTCAGGTCAAAAGCTGGGGGCGGTAAGATGAAAGACAGACATTCAGTAGCAGCATGGAAATGGTGCTGAGTTGTTTTATATATATACATATATATGTATGTGTGTGTGCATATGTGTATATGTATATATAAACATATATACATGTATGCATATATGTGTACACACACACACACACACTACTCAGCGAGATGCCTGCCATTCCCTTTGGCAGCTGGGTACTGAATCATTCTACCTAGCACCACTGCCCTGGCACTACACCAGTGAGAGATTTGGCCAAAGACCTTAGGCTTTGCTGTATTAGCTATCATCTATCTATCTGTCTGTCTGTCTGTCTTCTTTTTAGATGGACTTGTGATTTCATTGTTACAAAGAACTCCCAAGGAGGAATTTCTGTCTACCAAGGCAGATCTATACCTACACTGTAGCATATAATTTTAGAGCATTGCCTGAGGCAATGAGATTTTTTTTTTTTATTCTGAGTTTCTTTTCTCACCCAGGCTGGAAATACTGCAGCCACTCATGGGCCCAATCCCAATGCGTAACAGCACAGAGGCTTTGACCTGGGCCAGATGACCCCTCCTTAGACAGCTATATGACCCTTCTCTCCCCAGGGCGTCATCCTATCCATGGTGGCCTTGGATCAGGCACCAGATTGGCTTCAGCCCAACTGTAGCTCAACACTCCCAACCAAGGTCAAGCTGTCCACTAGTCTCAGACTGACCTAAGAGTAGAGATTACAGTTATGTACCTCCAAGCCTGGTGGGAGATGAGACTCTAAGTGACTTTCCAAAAGTCTTCCAGTCCGCAGGTGTGAAGGGCAGCTGATTGGAATGAAGAGAAAACCAGCCCCAGAGTCCAAAAGACTGAGGATCAAGTCTTGCCTCTCATGCCTATGTGGATGTGTGATCCTTCGGACATTACTGAAACCTCAGTGCCTCAGCCAACTCTCTAAAAACTCTGTAAATTGTTGTGGTGGAAGAGGGAGTTTTCCTCCATTTTTCTTTCCTTTCTATGTGTATATGAGTGCATACGTTACATAGATGATGTGTATATATAGTATGTAATTATTTATATACACACATATATTAAACATATATGTACAAAAAAGAGCATAATGAAATTAGATATAAGCAATCCAAGAAAATGGAGTCAGGCTCTTGTAAGCCCTAGGGAATCATTTTCATAAGTGACCCTGAGAGAGAGAATTTAGGCTGGTTCTTTGCTATGGATTCTTCTATGGAATAAGCTGGGTTCTATACCTGGGGGATTTAGGCCTCATCAATTCCCTATTGGGAAGCACCTATTTTTTGATGGGGAAACGGATTCCTTCCTTCCCCTCTCTGCATCCTTCAGCTGTCAACACAGCATCCGCCTTGTGGGACTGTTAATTACTGACTTTTATTATATTTACGCCGCTTAATTTTTTTCTCCACAATGTACTCTTCCCTCTAATTAGGTGTAGTGATTAGAATCTCTTTCATGTGTCGCTGGCACGGTGCTTTGAATGTTGAAGGCGCTTGGTGACTTGAAGGAAAGCTGCAGCCTGATAAAAAGAAAGCTTCTCCTACCCCCCCAACCCCCTTTTCTTTCTCCCCATCAGCTGAGTGACCCAACTGGGAGGGGGCAGCAGAGCTGGGGCACCGAGCAAGTGAAGATTCCCTTGGAGAAGTTTCAGAGGGAAGGAGAAATTAGCGGTCAGACAGGGATTCACATTCCTGACAGTTTGTCAATAGAGGTGACCTGGCAGGGAACTCAGTTCCTTCTGGGACAAAGGCAAAGCGAGGGTGTGTGTGTGTGTGTGTGTGTGTGTGTGTGTGTGTGTGTGTGTGTGTATAACAGGATGTAAGAAGTGGCTAAGATTATATACACATATACACACATAGACACATACATACACATATATACATATACATATAGACATACATATACTTACATACAAGTGTGTATATATGGGGTGTGGGTAGATGGGTTGCACCTGAGTCCTGCTTTAATGACTCATCATGGTATAAAGGTAATTCTGGGTCCTCAGAATCTTTAGATATTTGATATATGTGTCTCTGCTCACATATGCTTCACTATTCCAAACATTGGTGTTTTTGTCAGTGTTAGCCATGACTCCATCAATGTAGGTTAAAACTACTCCGTACTATATCGGTGTATGTGTGTGGGTAGGTGGGGGGTGAGGGGTTGTGAGATGCCATGGCTGGAAAAAAAAAATCATCATCCCGTGGCCAGTCTCCAAACTTAGCTAGACTGGACCTTAGACAAACGATGTACAGTCTTTCACCAGGCCCTTATTCAAAACCTTTCCAGGCTGATAGAACCTGCTGTAACTTGTTTATGCTTTTGCTTGCATAGCCTATGAGAACCCAGTTACTTCCATACCATGATGAGAACCAAGTCAGATGAAAATGGAGAATGTATGTGTGTACATATAGATAGATAGATAGATAGATTTGCATACACACATATAGGTACACACATGTATTCATATTATATGTGTGTATATATGTATATTAGACATTTGTCTATTGATAGTCTATGCTATTTTATTGGCATAAAAAATATCATCTAAGAGATTATGATAAAAGATTGATTATAGAGGGAGAGAAGAATCACAGCTGGACGGTCAAAATGCTGCACTGGGACCCATGTAATGGGAAAAGATGTGGGGGGAGTCCCCCCCAGCATGTTTGGTGGAGCCTCTAGAGGGATTCATGGGAGAAGATAGACAATAAATACATAGGATGGAAAAGTGTGGAAGAGTTTGCAATCTCTGCTATTAGAGAGAGCATCCACCTCAAAGAAGACACTGGATTTAGAGTTGGAAGAAATGTTAGGGCCCTATAGCCCATCCTCTGATTTTACACTTGAGAAAACTGAGGCTCAGAGAGAGTCAAGGGCTTGCCCTGGGTCACACAGCTCATTCGTGTCAAGGCAAGATTTTATCTTGATCTTCCTATGTCTGGATCAAGCATTCTCTGCTCTATACCTGATACTTACATATATATGGTCTAAATCTATAGGAAGCATGGCATAATGAGTAGAGGGGCAGCCTGGGAGGTCATTAAGACCTGGGTTCAAATTCTGTTTCTGACCCAAGGCCATGTGACTGTGGGCAAGTCACTTAACTTTTCAGCATAATTCCACCACCACCGCCCTCCACACATACACACACAAAACATGTCAGGCAACTTGATAAGACCATAAACTACAAGGCAGTTGCTGATTTGCATTGGAAGAGGGATTTTTCTCATTAGGTATACTGTGTGTGCCTAGTACTGGGTGTGAGAATCGAATGAGATCACCTATGCAAAGCACTTTGCAAACCAGCACAGATCAGCAATCAATTCTGCGATGCTGTTTTAGTTGCATGGGGCTCTGAGGTCAAGTGACTTACCCCAGGTCTCACAGCTAAGCTATGTCAGAGGTAGAATTTGAATCCAAGTCTGTTTGATTCAAAGGTATGCCATACTGGGTCTCCTAAAAGACAGAGACTAGACTTGTGATTTCATAGGTCTAGGGAACTACCAGAAGAAGAAACTGATTCTCTAAATGAAGGTCCCCATATGCGCTGAAATCTATAGGCTTGGAACATTTTCTAGGGGTACTGAGAACTTAAGTGATTTGTCCATGGTCACACAGCCAGGGTGGGTCACTGGGAACCAAGTCATTCTGGCTCCAAAGCTATAACCCTACACTGCCTCTCCCATGTCTCTTTTACTATGTAATATATCACATGTAAACTCTATACATATGGGTCAATTCCTCTAAAACAATTAAGTCAAACTCAAATAGAAATAAGAGACCACTAAACCATACACAAGGATCCCTGTGGGCACATATTGACTTAGAAAACCGCATATTAATATTATCTATGTTCTGTTGTATTTTTATTTATTTTGTTGTGTTTATTTATTTTGGTTCAGCTGCACTTGGGTGTTGCAGCTGTTTTGTGTGTGATGCATCTGTTCTAAAAGGTAGAGCTCTGTACCCATTAGAATGGGATTCATTCACTCCCTGTTCCTAGGCAACATCTGCAGCAGTCTCATCATGACTATCACAACCATCCCCTTTTCCATGAGATGCAACAAGAGAGAAGTATTGGACCTGGAGTCAGGAGGG